TGTAAGTCAGACAAAAATTGCTGACAGAGAGATTGTTCTAAATATGTTTTAACCCCTGAGTGACACAGTTGCTGGGAACATGTATTTTTAATGTCTTAAGAGCTGAACTTTCACAGATCCTAAAATTATGACTGTTTCTAAAAATCAGTGGATGCATAGGACAGAACTTAAAATGTGGGAGAATTGTTAAGATATGGCTTTTTTCTTTAAGGAGCTTACAGCTAAATTGAAGAAAAGACTGAATGACAATAATCAGCAGCGGTATGCAACAGAACAGAATTAAGCTATATTATGAGATAAAAAGCTAAAAGGACGAGAGAGGTTAAGTGGGCCACAGGGGAGGCTGGAGTCAGCAAGTAGTGCTTGTTGGAAAAGTAGGACTTGAAGAGTGGGGAGGATTTGGAGAGGAAGAGAGGGAGGTATTTCAAGTGAGGGGAATCCCAGAGGAGTGAGCCCAGAGCTGGGCATAGGCCACAGCAGGGCAGGGTGGGACGTGGACAGTGCAGCTGCGGTTCATTTGGGGAATGCTGGGAAATGGTCGGCTTGCTGTTGCATCACGCCTGTAATGGGCACAGCCAGTTTTATCAGCTACAGATGCCTGCTGAAGAATTTTGTAAGAGTTTCACTCATATTGATTTTATGGGCTTCTCGGTGGACCTAGGCATATTGCTGATGATTTGTAAATGTTTGTTGTATTATTTGTAACTCAAACATTGTCTTGATGGCTCATGGGATGTGTAGGTGAATTTGAACATGAAGACTGCAGAAAGCCTCTTCCCCCAACACAGTCATTGCAAAGTCATTGAGACATCACCACAAACAGGAAAGCATCTCCAGACCTACTAAGGTCACATCCTTCTGTTCATGAACACCTTAGAGAGAAATAATTTTCACTGTTATCCTTTATGCAATTTATTTTTGGTGCTTTTCTCAGAGAAGATGAGGAAGTTACTCGATTCACTTTAGTATCTCAGAAAACTTACAGGTTTTTAAATTGTACTTTATGCTTTTTGTACTTTTATTTTATTTTTTTGAAACCTGTCATCTTGTATCTATTGGTGTCATTAGTGGAAATTTCATCTCTCCTACTGTTTGTTCAACACATTCACTCAATCCAAAGTTCGCCTTCAGTTATGGATTAACTCCTCACCAGGAAATATTTTTACAATATGAATGCTTACTTTTGAGGACAATGGGCTCCTTTCTCTCTTGTGGCATGAGTCATTTAAGAATGAGTGCCTTTGATAATTCTAGAAACCCACAAATCTGAATTAGCTCTGAATCTTAAAGAGAGAGTTAGAGTGGCCCAACCTTTTGGGTTCATACCCCAATTGGAGGAACAGGAATTCATTTTCAAACCATGATGAATGTGACTAGGACCTCTAGTGGCCAAACATGTCCCGACGGGCTGGATGGCATCTCCGTGGGAAGCTATCTGGACACTCTGGCAGATGATGTCCCAGGCCATCAGACCCCTTCAGACTTGGACCAATTCAGTGACAGCTCCATAATAGAGGACTCACAGGCACTACATAAGCATACCAAATTGGATTCTGAGTACTACTGCTTTGGCTAATGACCCAGTTTTTTGCATGGGACTGGTGTGCAATTAACTTGTATTTATCCTTCTCCGCTGCTATATTTTTGGTGTAATTTTTTTTTAATAAGACAACCTTTTTAAAAGAGGCTTATTTTGAAACTGCTTAATGGTATTTCTCTTGCTCCTTATATTTCTCATCTAGACTGATTTATTTTTCTCTGTTACATCTCTATTTTTATTTATTACAATGATTTTCCTCCCTTCTTTTACAGCAGCACAAACAAAAAAGGGGGAAAGAATTAGCAATAATTATGTTTTTGCTTTTGTTTTCAGAGCAAGGGGTCAGGGAAACAAGGAAAACTCTGCTACATTTTACAATAAACCAAAGTCTGATAACAGTTAATTTTGTTGCTTGTGTTCTTTCAATGATTCAAGATTTCAACTTCTAGATGTTGAGATATATTGCTGTTTGTATATTAGGTTGAACAATATTCTGGGGACAAAATTAGGCATTATATCTAGGCCACAATGTCCTCATGGATAATGAACAATACTGTCAGTCACACACTTCTACACTGTGAGACAGTGGAAACTCCCAAGGATGTGCAGTCTGTTCAACTCTCCCTTGTGCTGATGCTGTGGATCAGCATTTTTGTCATCAGTGATTCTAACTCAAACTGTAGACTTATTTGCATAGTAATGTGTATTATTGTCCCAAATTTCAGAGAATAATTAAAATTAGGTATGAACATAATAAGAAGCAAAGATGTCCTAAATTTAATTCTATATTTTGTTGACATTTACTGGATACATATTGCAAATCTGATAAAACATACAAACAGATAACTGAGAAATGTCAATACTCAAGAAATGTTTTTCCCCAAATTTCCTTTGTTATTCTGTACTTATTACACACTTTTCAAATCTATTGCTTTTAAGAAGTATATTATTCAATTTCCAACTAAAATGTATCAGGGCCTATATAACTAAAATGTATCAGGGCCTATATTTTGTGCTAGTCTTTTCCTGTAATCCTCATCACAGCAATCTCATAAAGTGAGGATTATTACCATTCTATGCTTGAGGAAATAGGCACATAGAAGGTAGGTAACTGAGTCAAAGCTCGAAGTTAAGTGTCAAAGCTAGGATTTGAATTTCCATCTGTCTTATTCCTATAACTACAACGGTTAATAACTTCTTTCGTACTTATTGATGTTAAATAAAATTTGGATGAGAAAGCAAATTTAAGCCCATGGCAATCAATAAAGAGAGAGAGAGAGAGAGAGAGAGAAAGATTAAATAAATAACCAACGATTTTTCCTTCAGTCAATGGGATCCATTTTTTCTAATGCTGAGCTTACTGAGCCCTTTCTTGAAATCACATGGCCAGAGTCAGTTTTATTCCTCTAAGTGAATCAGGGTGTTGACCACAAACCAACTGTTCCTAACATATTTCCACCTTTCTGNAGGGGAATCCCAGAGGAGTGAGCCCAGAGCTGGGCATAGGCCACAGCAGGGCAGGGTGGGACGTGGACAGTGCAGCTGCGGTTCATTTGGGGAATGCTGGGAAATGGTCGGCTTGCTGTTGCATCACGCCTGTAATGGGCACAGCCAGTTTTATCAGCTACAGATGCCTGCTGAAGAATTTTGTAAGAGTTTCACTCATATTGATTTTATGGGCTTCTCGGTGGACCTAGGCATATTGCTGATGATTTGTAAATGTTTGTTGTATTATTTGTAACTCAAACATTGTCTTGATGGCTCATGGGATGTGTAGGTGAATTTGAACATGAAGACTGCAGAAAGCCTCTTCCCCCAACACAGTCATTGCAAAGTCATTGAGACATCACCACAAACAGGAAAGCATCTCCAGACCTACTAAGGTCACATCCTTCTGTTCATGAACACCTTAGAGAGAAATAATTTTCACTGTTATCCTTTATGCAATTTATTTTTGGTGCTTTTCTCAGAGAAGATGAGGAAGTTACTCGATTCACTTTAGTATCCCAGAAAACTTACAGGTTTTTAAATTGTACTTTATGCTTTTTGTACTTTTATTTTATTTTTTTGAAACCTGTCATCTTGTATCTATTGGTGTCATTAGTGGAAATTTCATCTCTCCTACTGTTTGTTCAACACATTCACTCAATCCAAAGTTCGCCTTCAGTTATGGATTAACTCCTCACCAGGAAATATTTTTACAATATGAATGCTTACTTTTGAAGACAATGGGCTCCTTTCTCTCTTGTGGCATGAGTCATTTAAGAATGAGTGCCTTTGATAATTCTAGAAACCCACAAATCTGAATTAGCTCTGAATCTTAAAGAGAGAGTTAGCGTGGCCCAGCCTTTTGGGTTCATACCCCAATTGGAGGAACAGGAATTCATTTTCAAACCATGATGAATGTGACTAGGACCTCTAGTGGCCAAACATGTCCCTGCCTCCCAGTCCAGGCACCAGCGTCTTTATAGGAGTCACATCACCTCAATTCCAACAACAGGGGCAGTCCTGGGGGTTCTTACATCCCTCTCTCCCCAAAACCACCACAGCTTTGATGTTAGCTCATGTTGTCATTAAAATGTGAACCTACAAAGAGACCCGGCTTTGTGGCTGTGGAGACAAATTTCTTTGAAGTAACTTAGAATTATCAGAAAGACTACATGCCTGGAAGATACCTGTGGGAGTTCCAAAATCTTCACAGAGTCTCATTTCCCAATTTTGATCGGGGTGTCCCTGAAATATTGGTCCACTTCATCTTGTAAATTGGATCATCCTAGTGTATCAGAACCCTTTTGGATTCAGGGAATATTAGAGCAATTTGACTCCTTAAAAGCAATAGCATTATGCAGCACTATGTTGATATAGTCATGAAGAGTGCAGGCCATCTCTGTACTTTTAACTCTTTTCTGTAGATTTCAGTTTCTTTGTCTATAAAATGGGGATAAAAATAATAATAGCTGTAGTACAGTGTTTTTAAATTTTGCTATGAATGAGTTTTATGATGCTTGATACATTACCACGAATAAATAGAGGCTTTTATGATGCCGATACTGATTCCTGAATTTCTACATCTTCCTCTTCCCCTTGCCTCTCAGGATCCACAAACATATTCTCGGGTAAAGATGGATAAACTATTAATCTGGCCAGAGAGAGAATACATTTCTTAGCAGAGAACCCGCCATTCAATATGATATTTTCGGGCAGCTTGGTTAGGGTCAGGGATGCAATGGGAGTTATTATCCATTTTGGAGTCTGTTGCATCTGGCAGGAAGTGAATTTGGGGATTATGACTTCACCATCAGTCAGCAATTTTCAAAAAGATCCTCAAGTGCACTTATATTTTATTTTGTGAATTTAAAATTGTGGACTGCAGCAGACAGGATCCAGATGAATTTGGGGTCTTTCAGGAATGCAGAATAACTGGCATGTCTCTGCTCTCTCCCACTTCTCCCTAGGTTAACCTCAGGGCCACAGATGTCAGGCTCATGCGCCAATTGCTTGTTATCAATGAGAGCATCGAATCCATCAAGTGGATGATTGAAGAGAAAGCCACCATTACCAGCCGAGGCAGCAGTCTCAGTGGCAGCCTGTGCAGCTTGTTGGAGAGTCAGAGCACCTCCTTACATGGCAGCTACAACAGCCTACACGATGGCAGTGACGGGCTGGATGGCATCTCCGTGGGAAGCTATCTGGACACTCTGGCAGATGATGTCCCAGGCCATCAGACCCCTTCAGACTTGGACCAATTCAGTGACAGCTCCATAATAGAGGACTCACAGGCACTACATAAGCATACCAAATTGGATTCTGAGTACTACTGCTTTGGCTAATGACCCAGTTTTTTGCATGGGACTGGTGTGCAATTAACTTGTATTTATCCTTCTCCGCTGCTATATTTTTGGTGTAATTTTTTTTTAATAAGACAACCTTTTTAAAAGAGGCTTATTTTGAAACTGCTTAATGGTATTTCTCTTGCTCCTTATATTTCTCATCTAGACTGATTTATTTTTCTCTGTTACATCTCTATTTTTATTTATTACAATGATTTTCCTCCCTTCTTTTACAGCAGCACAAACAAAAAAGGGGGAAAGAATTAGCAATAATTATGTTTTTGCTTTTGTTTTCAGAGCAAGGGGTCAGGGAAACAAGGAAAACTCTGCTACATTTTACAATAAACCAAAGTCTGATAACAGTCAATTTTGTTTCTTGTGTTCTTTCAATGATTCAAGATTTCAACTTCTAGATGTTGAGATATATTGCTGTTTGTATATTAGGTTGAACAATATTCTGGGGACAAAATTAGGCATTATATCTAGGCCACAATGTCCTCATGGATAATGAACAATACTGTCAGTCACACACTTCTACACTGTGAGACAGTGGAAACTCCCAAGGATGTGCAGTCTGTTCAACTCTCCCTTGTGCTGATACTGTGGATCAGCATTTTTGTCATCAGTGATTCTAACTCAAACTGTAGACTTATTTGCATAGTAATGTGTATTATTGTCCCAAATTTCAGAGAATAATTAAAATTAGGTATGAACATAATAAGAAGCAAAGATGTCCTAAATTTAATTCTATATTTTGTTGACATTTACTGGATACATATTGCAAATCTGATAAAACATACAAACAGATAACTGAGAAATGTCAATACTCAAGAAATGTTTTTCCCCAAATTTCCTTTGTTATTCTGTACTTATTACACACTTTTCAAATCTATTGCTTTTAAGAAGTATATTATTCAATTTCCAACTAAAATGTATCAGGGCCTATATAACTAAAATGTATCAGGGCCTATATTTTGTGCTAGTCTTTTCCTGTAATCCTCATCACAGCAATCTCATAAAGTGAGGATTATTACCATTCTATGCTTGAGGAAATAGGCACATAGAAGGTAGGTAACTGAGTCAAAGCTCGAAGTTAAGTGTCAAAGCTAGGATTTGAATTTCCATCTGTCTTATTCCTATAACTACAACGGTTAATAACTTCTTTCGTACTTATTGATGTTAAATAAAATTTGGATGAGAAAGCAAATTTAAGCCCATGGCAATCAATAAAGAGAGAGAGAGAGAGAGAGAGAGAAAGATTAAATAAATAACCAACGATTTTTCCTTCAGTCAATGGGATCCATTTTTTCTAATGCTGAGCTTACTGAGCCCTTTCTTGAAATCACATGGCCAGAGTCAGTTTTATTCCTCTAAGTGAATCAGGGTGTTGACCACAAACCAACTGTTCCTAACATATTTCCACCTTTCTGCATACATTTACTCTGAATTTTGTGAAGGCTGGTTTGTTAATTTGTTGGGTTTTAATCTGAAATTAGACAAAGTAATTTTTAGCACAGATTGTTTACCAGATTAAAATTCAAGAGCACACTTTATGACCTAGCAGAGAAAAGGTCTTTAGGACAAAGACAGACAAATTTTAGACAGAAGGTAATGAAATATGAATTCACACGTCTATGGTACTGCAAAGAGCCATCCTCACCAAGAGGGAGGTGGGCAAACAACGAGAGTTCGAGAGGCACCAGGAGTAATTTCTAACCCCTGTAAAAACCAACATTTGCCTAGAACAAGCCATGCACATCATGGATAATTTCTGTTCTCAGATCATAGTTTCAAAAGGTGAATTCAACCTGGCAAATTTCTTCTACACCCTCCTTTTCCAGCTTCCCCTGTTATTTGTTCATCCCATGCCCTCTATAAATTTCCCCTCTATAGACAGGAAATGAAAAACGCATAAGACTATAATGTGGGAGAAGTGTGTAGAACAGTTTTCATTTATACATTGTATTTTAAAGAACCTGGAATGAACATTGGCAGAACATTTGAGAATTTTTTTTGGCTCTGTGAGTTTCCATATTTTATATGATTTACATTTATTCCAATTTTTTTTGCAAAAGATAGCAAATATAGATGCTATGATTTAGATACATGGAATCACTTATAAACCAATGGTGTTTTAGTGGTTGATTTTACTAAGAGTCAGGAAATATGCAGTTAAACAACACCTAATCACTAACATATTCATTTGTCTCAAGAGAATGAATGCATAGAAGTGCCTCGTTTTTAACTAAAGAATCCCCATAACGAATCTCTGATCAGGAGCATTTAATATTTTGATATCTGTCAGCACCATGAGGAAATGGGGTAAAAACTTAAAGCAAAAGTGTCTTTCAAACTATTCTACCTAAATTGAGTTATGTCTTCCCAGAGAAAATGGAATTTTTCTTAGTTACATTAATCCCTCTATTTTTATAGACTTGTTAGTCTCCGAGTGAGGGAAATAATTGCATGTAAGGAATTTAGACAAATTAAAGCTAGTATATTTTTGGCATTTTACAATAAAGGAATTCTAGATGACCAACTTAGAAATCATAACTAAACTTCAAGAAAACCCCAATATTTATACTGCCAGTCAGCCCAAAACTGTATAGTTTATAAAGATTTAAGTATTTGTCAATGTTTAGAAATGCAACAAAGATTCTTCGCTATCAGGTAGATCATAAAGGCACCTGGAGCCCCATGAATAACTTCAAATCAGGCATTTGTTTCCCCAACTTCATCAAAATACAATTACCTCCATGATACCAAAATAAATGGTTATTTCAAGTTCCTCATCTTAACTGATATCTCAGCAGCAGTCGACACATTAGATCACTCCTTTTTGAAAGAATGCCTTCACTTGACTTCCAGGACATCACTCTCTTGGGTCCCCTCATTCCCCACTGCCTGCTTGCTGGTGGTTCCATTGATGGTTTCTCTTCATTTTCCTGACCACCAAATGCAAGAGTGCTCCTGGGCTCAATTCTTTTCTAAACTGGCTCCCCAGGGGAATTTATCCAGTTTCACAATTTTAAATGCCATGTTTGTGCTGAGATTTCTGTGTATCTCTAGCCCCAGTCTCCCCTGAACTCCAGTCGCCCGTGTCCACCCGCCGCACAGCATCCAGGGTCTCTAGGCCATGTCTGATAAGCATCTCAATCTGATCATACCCAGAACTGAAATTCTGCTCTTATTTTGCAGTCTGCCTTCCTTTAGCAAATGGTGCCTCCTCTTACGAAATTCTCAGCCCAAATCCTGGAAGTCATTCTTAATTACTCTCTTTCCCTCACACACATCCAAATGTATATGCTCCATCTTAGAAATATACCCAGAATGCTGCAGGTTCTCACCCCATCCCCTGCTAACACTCTAATCCACGTCACCCCGCTTCTCCCTGAGACATTGCAGCATCCCTGTCTTGTTTTCTTGCTCCACACCTACCTCTCCACAGCCAGTGCTCAACATAGCAGCATAACCCTCTAAGACACAAGTCAGATGTTGCCAGCCTCTCATCCAACCCTGTAATGGATATCCATGTTCCTCAGAATCTAACCCAAATCCTTACCATGCGATATAAAACCCTGCACAATCTGTCATCCTTCTGCCTATCTGACCTCATCTTGTACTGTTCCCTCCACTCTCTCACTGTGCAGCCTCATCTGCATCCTTGTTATTCCTTACAAACCTCAAAATCCAAGCATGGTCTTCCCTCAGAATCTTTGCCCTTCTCATTTCCTCTTCTGAAATGTCCTTCTCCTAGATATTTATGTCTTTTTTTTTTTCCTTCCTTTTTGTCTTTTTTTCGTGACCGGTAATGGGATCGCAACCCTCAGTGTCGCGCCCGCACCGCGCTCAACCAGTGAGCGGACCAGTCTCTATAGGGGATCCGAACCCTCGGCGGGAGCGCCGCCGTGCTCCAAAGCGCCGCACTCAACCAAGTGCGCCACCGGGCCGGCCCTATGTCTTTTTTTTTAACTTGTGCAAGTGCTTTACTCATAATAACCAAAAATTAGCAAAAACCAAATGTTCATCGACAGGTGAAAGGACAAACAGATTGTGTTACATCCATACAATGGAAAATGGAATTACTACTCATCAACAAAAGAAATAAACTGCTAAAATACATAACAACATGGATGATCCTCAAAAACATTGCACTAAAAGAAAGAGGCCTGACACAGAAGACTACATAGCGTAGGATTTCTTTGAAATTCTAAGAGAGGGAAAACTGACCTATGGTGACAGAAAGCATATCAATTTTTGCTTACTCCTAGGGGTTAGGAGATGATTGCAAAGGGGCAAGAGGGAACTTTTGGGAAAGATAAAAGCATTCGATATCTAAGAATTGGTGACGGTTGCATGGGTGTATACATTCGTCAAAACTCATTGAACTGTGCATTTTTTCTCTTTTTTTATTAATTGAAGGATAATTTATTACACGTATTTGTAGGGTACAAAGTTGACTATCAATAGTTGTGTACAGTGTGTATGGGCAAATCAGGACAGTTAGCTTATTCATCATTACAATACGTAATCATTCTTTGTGTTCGATAACCAATTTCTCATTGGTTAAGCCCCTCTCTTTCCCCCTTTCCACCTCTAGTAAGTACATGAACTGTACACTTAACATGAGTGCCTTTCACTTATATATCTCTTAATAAAATATTATTTGTAAGTTTTGACTCTCCAGTTCTTCGTGGTGTCCAATCAAATGGCATCTTGTCTGAGAGGACCTCTTCTGTAGCATGCCTGGCACTCTCTAGGTTCCTAACTCTATTTTTCTGCATAGTCCTTATCATTACCTAATTCATATTTTTGTGTGTTCTCTCTGCTTCCCCGCACTAGAATGTAAGGTCTATGAGAACAAAAACTTTGTTTTGTTCACTGCCATATCCCCCAGCCCCAAAAAGAGTATCTGTCACATAATATATATCAAATAAATATTTTTTTAACTAAAGCAATTGTTAAACACTTGCTGAGTGTCTTTTTGGTGCCAGGCAATGATTGTACTAGGTTCTGGTGATGCAAAGATGAGGACGGTATGAATCCTGCCCTCACGGAGCTCATCTGTCTACTATGTTTCTCTGGTAGGAAGAATAATGCCTCCTGTTTCCTCCCCCAGAGATGTCCATGTCCTAATCACTGGAACCTGTGGGTATGTTACTTTACATGGCAAAAGGGACCTTGCAGCTGTGATTAAGTTAAGAATCTTGAGATGGAAAGATGATCTTGGGTTAGCTGTGTCAACCTTAGAAGAGAGAGGCAGGAGTGTTAGAGTAGAGAGAGAAAGAAAGGAAGATGTTGAAAATGTGATATTGCTGACTATGAGGATAGAAGAAAAGACCATGAGCCAAAGAACGTACAGCA